CAGAGGCAGGAGAGAGAGAGAACAGACAACACACACTGTACACACACACACTGGACACACACACTGTACACACACACACACACACAGGACACACACACTCAAACTGGAACAGTTCAGGAGGGCGGCCTAGAGGCCCAGGGACAGAGGAGTGGGCAGGGCGACTGGAGACCCACCGAAGCTACAGACCAATCACAGATCAGTAGGTGGGAACTCACTCCCAAAAACTAAACATAATGTCCGCCATCTTGCTAGGAAGCTAAGCTAACAGGCTCTATGGAGAAAGCTGATGAGAATGAAAGTATAATAAAAGTACGTTTCAACTTCAAACTGATATGATGAAGGGGATTTTTGAAGGTCTCTACGGTCTCCGCCTGTCGGCGGCGGTGAGGAGCCCAGGCGGACTGTTGGTGTCTCACTGTTTGTCTATGGACACAGACATAGAGTCTGTTTTCTGACAGGAATTTACAAGATCAATTCTGGAAGAAATCTCTGAATCAGTTGTGTAAACGGCCGTATGTGTTGTAGTAAACATGTCTGTGGAGGACCTTAGTGGGAGTGGCCTGCAATGCTGTGCATTCTGGGATTTGGTGTCTTTCATCCACATGAGCCAGAAAGACACTTCCTGTCTTTTCTCAGTCAAGAAGGCTTTAACTTCAAAATGTATTTCACATTTCTACATATATGACCCAATGTCAATACAGATTCATGTTTCAACGGGTGAAGTATCCCTTTAATGTAAATAATATAATAATATAATCAAATATATTCTTGTTTTGTTTCAGTGCCTTGGTCTGCATGTGCCCTGTAACATTTGAGTCCTCTGCCTCCTCCCGCCTCAGCTGCTACCACTGAACCCCCATTCACTCCTGAGAACTGCTCCTGAAATCCTCCTGATCTGGTTGTTCACACATGCACCTCAGACAGAAGGGGGGGGGGGGGTCTCCCAAGGTGAGACATGAAGTATAAGAACGACGTGGAAGTGGAGGATGAAGCAGCAGAGTCCTCCATATGACTCTATGATGAGAATATGTGTCTTTGTATCAATGCTACGTGTAGTTGAAGAGAATCTCAATGTGAACTAAAGAGTGGAGAAGGGGGCGCTGGGGGCGCTGGGGGCACAGTGGTTAGTGCGCGCGCCCCATGTATGGAGGCTTTACTCCTCCAAGCGGGCGGCTCGGGCTCGGATCCCACCTGTGGCTCATGTCATTCCCTACTCTCTCTCCCTGATTTCTGAATCTATCCACTGTCCTATCTCGCAATTAAAGGCACAAAAAGCCCCCCCAAAAAATCTTTAAATTTAAAGAGTGGAGAAGAACATACTGGAGAACAGGAAACATGCAGCAGCAGGTGGCGTGCAGCGATCACAGGGAATAAAGGTCACCACCCCCTCCCACTGGCTCCAGGTGAATTCTCCTGATTATATCCTGCTGCGTTCTCACATCAGCTCAGGAGGAGAAACTCCGGTTGAAGACTGTCACATGCAGCTCCTCATGATTTTTTCAGGAGTTCTGTGCAGGTGTTAGAAAGAGGTGAGAACAATAAGGGCAATCAAAAAGGGAAGAAGTAACACACATGCAGCTCATTTAGGAAGTGTTCAGGAGTTCAGTGCAGGTTTGAAAGCACTATAGGAGACCTGAATGTTTTTAACCCCTCGGTGAAAAGTGTATATAATTCTGTGTACTGTGTAAGATTGTTTCTGATGATAATGCTGTGAGTTTGTGCTGCTCTACACCAGCTGTCATGAAAACCCTGATCTCAGGGACCAGGTTAGTTAGTCCTGGTCCCTGGTGAAGAAGTCCCTGATTCTCTGTATGGTCTGATCCTCTGTATGTTCTGATGTTCTGTATGGTCCTATTCTATGTTCAGGTCCGATTCTTTGTATGGTCTGGTTCTCTGTATGGTCTGGTTCTATGTTGAGGTCAGAGGTCAGAGGTCAGTGAAGGCCCCAGTCTGTGTTGAAGTTGTATTCTTGTGTTGTTCTTCTTGACTCTGCTGTTGGAGAAAGTTAAATGTGTTACTGAAGTGATTTAAAGTCACAGTCACATTATTAATCATCAAGAGGACCAAACGAGGAAGAAGAGGACATGTTCAGTCGTTTATCTAATGGATCAATGAGGCCACCTGCTGGCCGGGGGAGGAACTAAATGTAGAGAAACATTTCAAACAGCTTCATGACAATAATAAAGTAAATGTAACAGAAGTGTGAAACATGGATATGACTCTAGTAAAGTCAAAGTATATGGATATTAGAGGATGCATCGATGCCGTTGTAGCAGCCCTCGACCAAGACAACATATAAGGAAGCGTGGAGTTCGACCGATGCAATTTATTTATTTCGTTTCGAGCACCGTGAAACTAGAAAAAACAAAAATAAAGCCAAGATTAACATTCAGAAAACAGTGAGATCAATTCATTACAGATATACAAATATTTACAATTAATTCCTAAACAAACTTTTCACAGTGCAACATTTTACTTTAAACAAACACAAACAATAACATCCACATCACAACAGGCCTGATTCAAACACACAACGCATCACATTAAACACTTACAACAATATTGCACAATCCCTTATAGCAGCGAACCTCAATTCATTCATAAATCATTCAATTAACACCTTCCCAAATTACGCACGTACCTCGCTCCGCTTGCCAAGGGTGCAAACTTTCATCTTTGGACACAGCGATCTCCATAAACCTTCGAACCTTCATGCTTAATGGTAAACCATAAAACCCTGTTTTAGTATCGCGTTTGGAGCATACAAACAATTGACCATTACAAACAAATTAGCCGTGCACATACCGTTACTCTGCTCAAGCCCCCCTGCCTACTCGCCGTGAATGACGAGCCGAGTGTGACGCGTGCGCTAAAACGTGTAATTCATGTTCCGGGGTGGAGCAACAACAAACAACCCAAATAGGCTCCTTTGGCCACTTAAAGCCGTGACAGAACATAATTGATTGATGCTGACTGACGCAGTTTGTAGGTTTTCTGGCCGCAGCTGGAGCTTAATACTTTATTAAATATGTATTAAATATATATAGGAGTAGTATTCATCTATTTTTGTTTACAACGACAAGGCATTGACGTTTTGTAAAGCACTTAATAATTAATATATTCATATTTAACTGATTGTTTGTCTTCATTGTTAAAAAAGTAAACATGTGCTGTAAGATAGAAAACTGAGGATGCATTATTTCATTTATTTTATTTATCAAGGGACAGTAAGCTCTGACATCGAGCATTTAAGCAAAGAAAAAAGAAAAGATGGTTGCACCAGTTTTAGCAAATCGCTAATTTCCATCTGTAGTCCCACATAAAAATGAATCAAGACAAACAATAAGACTCAACAGAGCACAATAAAGAAACACACGGGACAATTCGAGATGCTATAAACACTGAGGAACAACAGGACAACAACATAATACCCATTAGCTTCATTATAAAGTGTCATTAGTATCAAAACCCCTATATGCAGGATCAGTGCTGAAAGAGACTGTTTGCTCAAAATCCATTTTCTAACATCACTGGAAAAACTGTGGTAGTCTGTGTCATATATCAGACCAGTGAAGATGTACATAATCAATACCAGTTTGATACCATGGCAACAACAATAGTTGAATAATTAATTGAATTTAATTGCAAGAACTGATCTCTGTTTAAATTGGTAACAAGTATTTGTCTGTATTTTCTGACCTGAGTTTAAACCACTGAGAAAGCCTGAGTAACATCCCCTGTCTGTTCCTGCAGGGGGGGCTGGAGTCCCATCGATGGTGGTCTCCATGCTGGAAATGCTGTCTCAGTCTAACTTTCAGTCAACCTAACGACAGGCTGAGAGCTGGAGCTGAGGCGGGTTTTAAACCTCCTGACAAACCGTTACACCACACCCACCTGTCAATCAGGTCAGCTACACGCCTTATTGTGAATAACTCTTATCCTTCATCAAATCAAAACTGATGAGTCATCAAAACATTCACCCCCCGTACAGTGTGTCCATCGAGACATGAGCTAATCACACCTATTTGGTTTTTTGAACCAGGCTGTAAACATGTTAATCTCTGCTGTAAAAACAGGCTTTTTAGAATGGGTGTGTATGTGACTTCCTGTGCTCCTGTAGCCAGGACACTCGAGGAACTGCAGGATTTTACTAACTCTCTGTCTCTGTCTCTGTCTCTTTCTTTCCTCACAGCTTTGGGTAAAAAAAAAAAGGAATATAAGTTTTGTGATTTTTTTAGACTTTCGATCATAATGAAATCATAGATTGTATATTTTAAAATCATGCTGTAGGCCTATTGGAAAGTGAAAACGACACTGTTGACATCCCATGACCGAAAATCACCTTTACATCTCATACATTAGATGACATATCATGCCCCTTGTCCACCTTTCAAACAATCCACTGTGGTCTAAATGAAACATCTATATAACATGAATCAAGTACCAGAGGAGGTTTGTGACCCTGTATAAACCAGCTCTCTCAGAACGCTCCGTTTTGGTGTGTGTGTCTCTTGCAATGACTTTTTTCCCAGTAGACATCACTCCTCTGTAGAGAGAATAGAAATGGCCAACCTGCACAAAAGTTTAGTTCTAGGATGGGGGTGGAGTCCATGGGTATAGGGGAAGGGATTCTTTTTTACCAGAATCCCACTGTGACATCACAAGGAGAGCACATTTGAAACAGAGCATTTCTCTCTGTGTTGTAAGACTTATGCAGACCACAAACAAAGGACTGGATGGATTTATTTCACATTTTGTGGGTCAGTAGACATTCAGGTTACCCAAATATATGTTTAAACACACTGTATAAGTGGATTTTTCCTCATAATAATAATAATAATAGTATGCACCTTTACATCCCACTGATCTTTCCATACAAACGTTTAATTGTCTATATTTTACATATTGTATAAGATATTCTATTTTGAATGCTTCCATGGACCTCCACGTGAGAAATGTTACGTAAAACCTTTTTGGACCAATCATGTGCCGTCGTCCAGGACCGGATGTTGTAATGTAGTTTTGCCCAGAGCGACAGAGTGGACCATCATCTTTTGTCAGAGCTCCAAACAGAGCTAACACTGCGTGTGTTCACTCACACAGACATGAAGCACAACTCGAACGTCCCGGCCTTCCTCACCAAGCTGTGGACTCTGGTGGAGGATGAAAACACCAACGAGTTCATCTGCTGGAGCCAGGTAATGCTAACACTGTTAGCACTGTTGGCTAACGCAGAGCTAGCTGTGAAGTTAGCTTCGTCTGCAGCACCTAGCAACGTTTAACGGTAAACAACAAAACAACGCGAGGAGAAAACAACGTCAATTTACCAAAATGAAAATAGATAAAGAGATAGAGAGACAGCATTTACCCTATATGAAAACACAGCTAAGCGATTTGATGGTTAAATCAGTGACCGTGTAAACTGGTGACTTTCAGCTGGTTGTCGTAGTTACAGCAGCTGGACAGAGTCCTCCAGTTGCATCTTTGATTAATTTTATAATAATATTTATCCATCATATATATCTTCAATTCATAAACAAACAAAGAGGCTCATTCCGTTTTTAGAGCTGTGTGACTGTAAATATGAACCATGACACCACCAGACGAGGCACCAGTTAACACGGTCACTGGTAAAACCGATACACCGTTATTCTCTGACTTTATTTATCTTTTAAATAAACGACACATGATAATGAAACCACATTTCATAAGAAGTTGTGACGTTTGCTGAGACATGACGTGGGAGCTGATGCTACATGATTAAATAAAGCACTGAGTAAAGGGTTATGTTTACTTTTCTGTAGCATCCCTCGTCTTTTAAATGAGCAATAACTGACCCCTAGTGTTTAAAATGGGTACTGCAGTCGAATTTCTAAACATTATAGAGAGCTGTCTCCCCCCCCCCTCCTCTCTATATTCGATGCTCACTCAGGTCTCCATGTGGTGGACACTGAAGCTTCAGTGTTTATCCAGCTCTGCATGGGTCTGTACACCTTTCTGTGTTCTAACCTCTCTCCATTTTTCAAAAACATCTCCAATATTGATCCTAGTTTGAACACGTTTCTGCTCGTGGAGCTTATTATCCTCAGGACAGATTCTTTTCACCTCAGTCTGTCTTAAACAACCTCGGGCTGAGAAAAGCTGCAAGGTTTCTGGATGTGGTTTCTATTAAGCGCTTCATTTGTGAAGTCAGAGATATTCGTGTTTATAGACAACAGTTCATGTAGTGACTCTACAGATGTGTAGTGTTTAACTCCTCCTCAGCTTTTCTTCAGACAGACTCGGCCTCTCTCTATGCTCTTTTCACACCCCATCATGTTACTCACCTGTGAACATTAACCCTATTCACTGTCAGATAGGTAGAGAGAGAGAAACACTTTATTGATCCAGCGGGAAATTCTAAGCATCCAGTAGCAGCTTAAAAAGAAATGCATGATATGAAAGATTTGTTACATCCAAACAACCCCCGCTGCCCCCCCTCCCCAATTATACACTACCTGTCAAAAGTTTGGACACACAACAGGAACAGTATAATCAATAATACAGTATAATATATTATTATGATATACTGTCAGCTGTATCTCAGGCACACAGACAAAATTTTCTTTTTGTTTTACTATTTTCCACATTTAAGAATAATGAAAGATATAAAAACAATAACAGTCAAACATTTAAGTTTTGTTTTAGAAATAAATGCACGCATACGTAGTCATAACCATATCTATTTCTATAAGAAACATGTCAAACATTGAAGCATAAGCCTTTAGATCAAAATGTATTTAAGATTATAACATGGGTTTCAATCAGGTGTGTCCAAACATTTGTCTGGAACTGTATTAACCTGAAGGAATCAGTAATGTGCATATAATTTGACACACTGACACTTCTCAGTTTGAACCTATGTTAATGTTTCCAGTGGGACATGAGGTTTTTATAACCTGCAGCATTTTCTAACTGTTGTTCATCTTTCTGTGGGCTGTTCTCAGGAGGGGAACAGCTTCCTGGTGTTGGACGAGCAGCATTTTGCAAAAGAGATCCTCCCGAAGTTCTTCAAGCACAACAACATGGCCAGCTTCATCCGACAGCTCAACATGTGTAAGTGTTCACTCGCTGTCAGCTCAGAGCGGCTTCAATCACAGTCTGAAGTAAAGAGAGTCAGAGCTTCAATCACAGTCTGAAGTAAAGAGAGTCAGATCGGCTTCAATCACAGTCTGAAGTAAAGAGAGTCAGAGCTTCAATCACAATCTGAAGTAAAGAGAGTCAGAGCGGCTTCAATCACAGTCTGAAGTAAACAGAGTCAGAGCCGCTTCAATCACAGTCTGAAGTAAAGAGAGTCAGAGCCGCTTCAATCACAGTCTGAAGTAAAGAGAGTCAGAGCCGCTTCAATCACAGTCTGAAGTAAAGAGAGTCAGAGCTTCAATCACAGTCTGAAGTAAAGAGAGTCAGAGCCACTTCAATCACAGTCTGAAGTAAAGAGAGTCAGAGCCACTTCAATCATAGTCTGAAGTAAAGAGAGTCAGAGCCGCTTCAATCACAGTCTGAAGTAAAGAGAGTCAGAGCTTCAATCACAGTCTGAAGTAAAGAGAGTCAGAGCCGCTTCAATCACAGTCTGAAGTAAAGAGAGTCAGAGCTTCAATCACAGTCTGAAGTAAAGAGAGTCAGAGCCGCTTCAATCACAGTCTGAAGTAAAGAGAGTCAGAGCGGCTTCAATCACAGTCTGAAGTAAAGAGAGTCAGAGCCACTTCAATCACAGTCTGAAGTAAAGAGAGTCAGAGCCGCTTCAATCACAGTCTGAAGTAAAGAGAGTCAGAGCTTCAATCACAATCTGAAGTAAAGAGAGTCAGAGCGGCTTCAATCACAGTCTGAAGTAAAGAGAGTCAGAGCGGCTTCAATCACAGTCTGAAGTAAAGAGAGTCAGAGCCGCTTCAATCACAGTCTGAAGTAAAGAGAGTCAGAGCGGCTTCAATCACAGTCTGAAGTAAAGAGAGTCAGAGCGGCTTCAATCACAGTCTGAAGTAAAGCGAGTCAGAGCGGCTTCAATCACAGTCTGAAGTAAAGAGAGTCAGAGCCGCTTCAATCACAGTCTGAAGTAAAGAGAGTCAGAGCTTCAATCACATTCTGAAGTAAAGAGAGTCAGAGCCGCTTCAATCACAGTCTGAAGTAAAGAGAGTCAGAGCCGCTTCAATCACAGTCTGAAGTAAAGAGTCAGAGCCGCTTCAATCACAGTCTGAAGTAAAGAGTCAGAGCTTCAATCACAGTCTGAAGTAAAGAGTCAGAGCTTCAATCACAGTCTGAAGTAAAGAGTCAGAGCTTCAATCACAGTCTGAAGTAAAGAGAGTCAGAGCTTCAATCACATTCTGAAGTAAAGAGAGTCAGAGCCGCTTCAATCACAGTCTGAGGTAAAGAGAGTCAGAGCCGCTTCAATCACAGTCTGAAGTAAAGAGAGTCAGAGCCGCTTCAATCACAGTCTGAAGTAAAGAGAGTCAGAGCCACTTCAATCACAGTCTGAAGTAAAGAGTCAGATCTTCAATCACAGTCTGAAGTACAGAGAGTCAGAGCTTCAATCACAGTCTGAAGTAAAGAGAGTCAGAGCCGCTTCAATCACAGTCTGAAGTAAAGAGAGTCAGAGCTTCAATCACAGTCTGAAGTAAAGAGAGTCAGAGCGGCTTCAATCACAGTCTGAAGTAAAGAGAGTCAGAGTGGCTTCAATCAGTCTGAAGTAAAGAGAGTCAGAGCTTCAATCATAGTCTGAAGTAAAGAGTGTCAGAGCTTCAATCACAGTCTGAAGTAAAGAGAGTCAGAGAGGCTTCAGTCAGTCTGAAGTAAAGAGAGTCAGAGCTTCAATCACAGTCTGAAGTAAAGAGAGTCAGAGCGGCTTCAATCACAGTCTGAAGTAAAGAGAGTCAGAGTGGCTTCAATCAGTCTGAAGTAAAGAGAGTCAGAGCTTCAATCATAGTCTGAAGTAAAGAGTGTCAGAGCTTCAATCACAGTCTGAAGTAAAGAGAGTCAGAGAGGCTTCAGTCAGTCTGAAGTAAAGAGAGTCAGAGCTTCAATCATAGTCTGAAGAAAAGAGTGTCAGAGCTTCAATCACAGTCTGAAGTAAAGAGAGTCAGAGCGGCTTCAATCACAGTCTGAGGTAAAGGTGTGTGTGTGTGTGTGTGTGTGTGTGTGTGTGTGTGTGTGTGTGTTTCTTCGCGTGTTTCTTCGTGTGTTTTTTGTTTCTGTGTGTGTGTTTGTGTTTCTCTGTGTGTGTGTTTTTGTTTCTCTGTGTGTGTGTTTTTGTTTCTCTGTGTGTGTGTGTGTTTGTGTTTCTCTGTGTGTGTGTTTGTGTTTCTGTGTGTAGATGGTTTCCGTAAAGTGATGCACATGGACACGGGGATCGTGAAACAGGAAAGAGACGGTCCGGTGGAGTTTCAGCACCCGTACTTTAAACACGGTCAGGATGACCTGCTGGAGAACATCAAGAGAAAGGTAGAGTCATCATCCATCTGTTCTTCACCTGTCAATCATCACTCACCTGTCCATTACTCACCTGTCCATTACTCACCTGTCCATCACTCACCTGTCCATCATCACTCACCTGTCCATCATCACTCACCTGTCCATTACTCACCTGTCCATTACTCACCTGTCCATCACTCACCTGTCCATCATCACTCACCTGTCCATCATCACTCACCTGTTCATCATCACTCACCTGTCCATCATCACTCACCTGTTCATCATCACTCACCTGTCCATCACTCACCTGTCCATCATCACTCACCTGTCCATCATCACTCACCTGTCAATCACTCACCTGTCCATCATCACTCACCTGTCCATCACTCACCTGGCCATCATCATTCACCTGTCAATCACTCACCTATCCATCATCACTCACCTGTCCATCATCACTCACCTGTCAATCACTCACCTGTCCATCATCACTCACCTGTCCATCATCACTCACCTGTCAATCACTCACCTGTCCATCATCACTCACCTGTCCATCACTCACCTGTCCATCATCACTCACCTGTCAATCATCACTCACCTGTCCATCACTCACCTGTCCATCATCACTCACCTGTCCATCACTCACCTGTCCATCATCACTCACCTGTCAATCATCACTCACCTGTCCATCACTCACCTGTCAATCATCACTCACCTGTCCATCATCACTCACCTGTCCATCATCATTCACCTGTCCATCACTCACCTGTCTCTCCCCCCCCCCCCCCGAACTGTGTTAACATTGTTTTACTGTCTGTGTTCAGGTTTCTAATGCTCGACCCGAGGACTCAAAGATCCGACAGGAGGACCTGACAAAGATCATAGCCAGCGTTCAGAGTGTTCACAGCAAACAGGAGAACATCGACGCCCGGCTCATCACGCTGAAGAGGTGAGTGTGAACCCTGATCTGTGACTGATTGATCTGCCAACCATGATTAAATACTCAATGACAAGTGGATGGATGCAGCCTCACCGTACAGGTCAGACTGTCGATACACGGACACCAAGCACATAGCATGGTAATTATTCAGACATGTCTGTTACCGTGGAGACCAAACCAGCAGGTCTGTTAGTGTGCTCCAAGGAGACCATCATATTCAGTCAGCACTTCATCAGGTCTTAAATCTAACCCACCGTGTGCGTGCGTGTGTGTGTGTGTGTGTGTGTGTGTTTTCTCAGGGAGAACGAGGCTCTGTGGAGGGAGATCTCAGACCTGAGACAGAAACACGTTCACCAGCAGCAGCTCATCAAAAAGGTGAGAACAAACCTGAGCATTACTGTGTTCCCGTCAACACTGATTATGATTGGTCATGAATCACCTTGAGGGTCCTGCAGCCCACAGGGTTAAACACAGCTCATTAATCTCTGTCTGTCGTGGTGCATCTTCTGATGGGTTACTGAGCTGGACTCTCTCACCTGCTCTGTGTGTCAGCCTGCAGGTGTTCTGAATCTTCACCTGTTTGAATCTTAACCTGAATTTTGTTGTCATTTTCAGTTGATCCATTTCATTGTCACATTGGTCCAGAACAACCACATCCTGAATTTAAAGCGTAAAAGGTGAGTTCACTCTGAGCTGCGTCCCCCAGGTGAGGTGGGTCACCTCCACATGTCTAATAATCACTGATCAATCTGTACACTTCTCACGTCTCAGCTGTGGGTTTCATGACACGGCAGTTCCCCCCTCAGTAAAGTTAGAGCCTCTTGATCGCCCCCTGGAGGAGCGGCTGTGAGTTTAGGGAGCATTTGGATATGCAGCAATGAAACACTCCGAGCTGATTTACTAAACGTCACACCGTCTGCTGCGTCTTCAGGGTGGAGAATCTATTCTTGACTTACAGGAGCAGTACATAACTCTGACACCTAGTGTTTAAAACAGGTACTGTAGTCTACATTCTAAACATTATAGAGAGCTGTCTCACCCCCCTCCTCTCTAGAGATGATGTTCACGCAGGTCACCATGTGGTGGACTCTGAAGCTTCAGTGTTTATCCAGCTCTGCATGGGTCTGTAAACCTTTCTGTGTTCTAACCTCTCTCCATTTTTCAAAAGCATCGCCAATATTGATCCTAGTTTGAGCACGTTTCTGCTCGTGGAGCTTATTAGAAACATGCAGAGGCTTTTTAGGTTGGGTACAATCACTTCTATCTGAAGTATCCATCACTGCAACACCTGTTGGTTTGACCTGATAACTGCTCTCATATCTGGCAAAGCGAGGGGTGTCCAAAACAGCCGTGTGGGGGTGTCTTTAAACCGTCTACCTTCTCTGGTCCAAACAAATCCAGATCATTCAGGACCAGAATCTAAAGTTAGGAGGACATACTGGCTGCTGCATTGTTGTCAGAGAAGCCAGCACTTCAACATAGCATGTTTCATTAATGTCTGATCAGATAGTAAGATCACTTTATCATCTCACTCTCTACACATCTCACTGATTGGAGCACAAAGTTGTAGATTAATATTCTAAACAGTCGTCTTGCGTCAGCCACTAAATGAAAACCGTTTCTCTATAAAGATGATTAATATCAAACATCTCTGTCTGAACTTTGTGTGTTTTTGTGTTTTTGTGTTTTTCAGGCCAATTCTGATGAACAGCAGCGGGAAGAAGCCCAAATACATCCATGAGATCTTTGAAGACAAAGTGTGTGTGGATCAGGTCAGTGAACACAGCTCCTCCTCCTCCTCCTCATTATTTCATATGAACAGATGAGATGTGATGTATCAGGTGCGTTATGATGTGTTTTCTGTCCAGTCGTCTGTCGGCAGTCTGAGCGGGGGAAAGGCAGAGGCTTCTGATGATGTCATCATCTGTGATGTCACTGAGAGCGATGTTGAGGTGACGGAGGAGTCACTGCAGGCGTTGGACCCCGGGTCAGATGAAATGATTATTATTAATATTCACTCTGTTGTAGATGAAGCATCAGTCCGTCCACTCACATGCAGTCTGACCTCCTCCCTCAGAGAGATGGAGATTGTGGAGGTGGAGCTGTACAACGGGGCAGAGGTGGAGCTGAGCGCCGTCAGCTCAGAGGACAGCAGGCAGACGGAGAATGGGAACAAGACGGGCAGCACGCCAGACAGTAACGCACCCACGACCAGCACATCTCATGCCTCTGCTCCGCCAGGCACCGCTCCGCCCAGCGTGGCTCCAACGAGCAGCACATCCACCAGCTCCGCCCTGCAGCTGAACAAAGCTGCATCTCTGAGTCTGGAGGACCCCATGAAGATGATGGACTCCATCCTGAACGAGAACGGAGCCATCTCTCAGAACATCAACCTTCTGGGAAAGTAAGACACAAACTGAAGGTGTAGACTCTCACTTTAGATTCAGACTCCTTTTATTCAACTAAACAACACCATCAGCAACCTTGGGTTGACAAATGAAGTCAAAACAACAAAAACCAAGCTGAAGTGTAAAATCCTGCAGTTCTTAAAGTGTCCACTAGAGGCTGGCTGCAGGAGCACAGGAAGTCACATACACACCCATTCTAAAAAGTCTGTTTTTACAGCAGAGATGAACATGTTTACAGCCTTGTTCAAAAAACCAAATAGGTGTGATTAGCTCATGTCTGGATGGACACACACTGTACGGGGGGGTGAATGTTTTGATGACTCATCAGTTTTGATTTGATGAAGGATAAGAGTTATTCACAATAAGGCGTGTAGCTGACCTGATTGACAGGTGGGCGTGGTGTAACGGTTTGTCAGGAGGTTTAAAACCTGCCTCAGCTCCAGCTCTCAGCCTGTCGTTAGGCTGACTGATAGTTAGACTGAGACAGCATTTCCAGCATGGAGACCGCCATCGATGAACAGACGGGTGATGTTACTCAGGCTTCATCCAGTAATATTCACAGTCTATGCAGACGACTCTCTGATATCTGGCAGAGAACTTGTCTGCAGACAGAGGCGGGCTCAGTTTGTGAAAAATGACACTTTATAAACCGTTTATCGGTGTTACGGATTAAAGAGTGACCGTGTGAACTGGTGACTTCAGCCAAATGTATCTATGGTTGTCATGGTTACTGATATACAGTATATGATTGGTAAGTGACATTCGTTTAGACTTTCCATCTTTAAACTCTGTTGTAACTATGGTAACCACAGAAGCATTGTGCTGAGAGTCACCAGTTAAGATGGTCCCTCTTTAAACTGTAACACCGGTGTTACAGAAACAGGTGAAGAAACAGAAACATCGTGTGTGTGTGTGTGTGTGTGTGTGTGTCAGGCTGGAGCTGATGGATTATCTGGACAGTATCGACTGCAGTCTGGAGGATTTTCAGGCCATGCTGTACGGGAAACAGTTTGGAATCGATGTTGATGCTCTGGAGGTGAAAACACACACTGAACCCCCCCTCGTTGTCATACTTCGCTCCTCCTCATCCTGTTTCATCTTCTCTCCCTCCTCATCCACCTCTTTCCCTTTCTTCTCTTTATTCTCCTCCTCCAATTTATTATTTTCTTCATCCAACTTCTTCTTTCTGCTCTTTTTCTCTTGTGTTTTCTTCTCCTCCTCCCTCTAATGTAATCCTCTTTCCATCTGGCTCTTTCCTCCTCTTTCTCCTCCTCCCCCCTTGACCCCCCCCCCTTCTCCTTGTCATTCTTCTTACTCGTTCACCAGACGTCACCACGTATTAAATCATTTTTGATCTTTGTGTTTTTTAGGAGAGTGCGTCCTCCAAAGAGAGCCTCGTAGAGCTAACCAGAGGACGGACGGAAGAAGACAATACAGGTGAGACACACACACACACACACACACAGAAGCGGTCACAGTGTTTCGAGGTGTGATTACTGGTCCTGATGCTCTGACAGTGAAACACGTCTTTGGATCTTTATTGATCTAACATTCAATGGGTGTCATGTGTTCAGATAAACAGTTGATCCAGTACATCTCCTGCCCCCTGCTGGCCTTCCTGGACGGCTGCACCCCTACTGCAGATTTAGACCTGGGCTCCAGCAGCTCCTCCACCTCCCACCTGCAGCTCTCCTCCTCTGCCTCACTGGACTCCTCCCCCCCTGTCAGACCTGCTGGAGTCCAGCCTGGAGACCAAGCAGTCAGCCCACAGCTCCCTGATCCGCCTGGAGCCGCTGACCGAGGCTGAGGCCAGCCAGGAGACACTCTTCTACATGTGTGAACTCAGTCCTGCTGCAGCCGATACAGACTCCTCCCACATGGACGCTCTTTGAAACAAACTCTGACCACCTGGACCGTGTCTGAGTGGAGGGGACTTTAGGGAGAGTGACCCCCTCAGTCTGACGCTGATCTCAGTGTGTGTGTGTGTGTGTGTGTCCTTCTTACATTTTTAAGAAAACATTTAAAGTTTATTAAGTGTGATGAAGGTGTTCTACTTCCCCTCTGAACACATCATCTTTTACAAAGAGTAAGACAGGCAGCCGAGTGCTCAGAGAGTGAGACAGCTTAGGGCTCAGAGTGAGACAGTCAAAATTTCAGAGTGAGACAATCGAGGGCTCAGAGTGAGACAGATGAACTCTCCTCTGTAGATGAATTAACTTTATTTACTTTAATGTTTTCTTCTAAGTGATAGTGTGACACACACACACACTGCTCCTTCAGCAGAGATCTCTGAGTGTCAGTGAGGAGGCGTCACTCCTCTCCTGTATTTACAGACTCAAACATTTGTATTATTTATTCTCTTTCTGTTCGTCTTTAATGCTTTTGTTATTTTACTGAGACTGTCCTTCAAACGTCAGTACTTCACAGACTTCTACTCCTGCTCCTCCTCTTCCTGCTGTTCTTCCTCTTCCTGCTCCTCCTTTCTGAATTAGTTTTTTTACGTTAATGACAGCAGCAGTCTGCACAGCTGGGAATAAAACCTATTCAAACCTGTCCAACAAGCTTCAGATTACCTGAGCAGGTGATGCAGCCTTCCAGCTTGAACGTAGTAGACAACCAGTGCTCATGCTTGTTGCCATGGCGATACTGACCTGAGGAGCGAGACATGGAAGACTCAATGCACGCTAATAATAGAACATCATTAAAATGTTACTCGAGCAGATGGCCTGACCACATCTCACTGCAGGCAGCAGGTGGCGCTGCGCTCCTTTAAAAATGTTGCTTGTAAATAAATATCACTTTTCAACATTTTTTCTGAAATAGTAGGTTTTTTTTCTGAAGTGGATAAAGATTCTCTTTAAGTGAAGGCAATATTAAACCTGCCTTCTCTAACATCCAGCACCTTATAGACGTCTGTGAAGATTTTATTAACCAGTGCATGGTGTCAATCTGTAGTCTCAAGTCTTCTTTAAAGGCTTTATATGTGATTTTTTGATCCAGCAGATGTCGCCCTTGAGCTCCAGCATGAAACCAAAACAACTCGCGCTGCATTGTTGTGTTAGCATGCTAATGCTAGCGATCTTTATTATGCTGGTATCCTCACACTGCATGTAAATTTACCTGAAATGAGCGTGATCTAGAAACACAGTTAAGCAGTGAGTACAGTATGTTATTCTTCTTTTCTCTAGTCCCTCAATTAAACAACTTTTATACACGAGGGGAGGAGTCAGCCGGCCGTCCTGCCGATGTAAACAAACTGAAGATAGGACTCTGAAAACTCTGAAAACATCACAGACAGTGGGACTCGAGTGTTACACCCATTGTAGACAGTCATGACTCACAGAGTTATTTCCTATGGTGGCTGGGAAGTGCAAAGCAAAATTACTAAGTGTTAAACACTTTTACAAAATGTGAGACAAATTTACATTTTGGAAAACATTTTTACATTTTATGAAACAATTACAAAACCAAAAACACTTACCAAGGACAAAACAAATGTACAAGATGCAAAACACTTTAACAATCGACACGAGACAAATTTACAAGAGGCAGAACACTTTTACCAGTCCCCAAACAAATTTACAAACGACAGAATCTTGACGGAAAGGGAATGTACCGCGACAAAACAAAACAAACAAAATGACCCCTCACTCGATCACTTCCGACATTTGGTACATTCCCATTTTGTCAAGATTCTGTCGTTTGTCTCATCGATTGTAAAAGTGTTTCACATCTTGTAAATTTGTTTTATAAAATGTAAAGGTGTTTTTTCCTTGGTATAAGTGTTTTGGTTTTGTAATTTTGTTTTCTAAAAATGTAAAAAGGTTTTTCAAAATGTAAATTTGTCTCACATTTGAAATTTTGCTTATCAGCCACTAATTCAGAGGATATACTTGATTTCTATTACATTTAAGTGTGAAAAATCACAAAGCCTTTAACACATGTTTAATTAGTCGAAGAGACCAGAAAGAGGGGAGGAGTTAGGGGTGGGGTTACCTGTGACTGACAAGTTGCTACCATGGCAACCTAAAAATATCAGTTGTTCTCAAAAGCTCTGAGGTGACGGCTGTTTGTTTCGAGTGAGATTTTTTCTCAGGAAATGACGATGTTTGGAAAAAAAAGGGCGGAGCTGGAGAGGAGCCCAACTGAATATGAAATGAAGGTTTTTAAAAAGCAAAAGATACAAAATTCTGTTCTGTATCAATACTTTTATTCTGAAGGACTTCCTGCAGAACTCTGTGTTCAGCACAGACTCTCTGGGAGAAAATAGCAAAATAATTCCACTAAAATCAATATAATCTTCACGTTGTATTTTATCTAGAAACAAAACCAAGCGTAAGTTAAAAAAAAACACAAAATCAAACACTCTTGTCTTTAAGTGGACTTTTATTAAACCAGGTACAGATTTTCAGAATAAAAGCACAAAAACAACCAAACTCTGAGAGAAGCTACATACTAATGCTAACACCACCAAATAAGTTAACTCATCTAAACAATATTTATACATTAAAGTCAGAGCAACAAACACAGGCGTGTGTGTGTGTGTGTGTGCTGCAGATACACACTTACTTGAGCAGGTCATTAATGATTACAACACTCTGCTACACAGCACTAAAGCTGATCAGTCTCTCCCTTTTTTACATGAAACACAGTTTTAATTAATGTAATACTGATGCTGGCCACAGGTGGCGCTGCTCTCACACTGTTAAGAGTCACAGAGTTAAAGAAGCATGCAGCTCTGTTCTAACACACACCACATATTTACAACAACAAAAGCTACAGGGAGTGGGGTCACAGCAGGATAGCAAGCTGTAGCATGGGGGCGGCGTAAGCAGTGATTCAGGGGGCGGGATCAGCTGCGGCCTGCTCAGTCGAAGTCTCTGTTGACGAGGACGAGCGGAGCAGCCAGCGTCCACACGTAGAGGGCGATACAAATCCAGCTGGACGAGATCTTCACCCACACGGACGGCCAACGACTCGTCATCACCTCGTAGTTCGAGTCCGGACTGAAGACAGAGCGAACACACACAGTGTTGATAATAAAGAACATGTTTCATTACCTGTTGTGTGTACACGTGTACCTGCGATGTAGCTGTGTGTGTACCTGTGTAAGTGTGTGTACCTGTGTATGTGTAAGTGTGTGTACCTACGAGGTAGCTGTGTATGTGTAAGTGTGTGTACCTGCGATGTAGCTGTGTGTGTACCTGTGTATGTGTAAGTGTGTGTACCTACGAGGTAGCTGTGTGTGTACCTGTGTATGTGTAAGTGTGTGTACCTGCGATGTAGCTGTGTATGTGTAAGTGTGTGTACCTGCGATGTAGCTGTGTGTATACCTGTGTATGTGTAAGTGTGTGCACCTGTGTGGTAGCTGTGTGCGTACCTGTGTATGTGTAAGTGTGTGTACCTGTGTATGTGTAAGTATGTGTACCTGTGTATGTGTAAGTATGTGTACCTGTGAGGTAGCTGTGTGTGTGTCCTACCTGTACCAGTTGGTGAGCGTCATCATGATGTAGAGCGAGGCGAGGAACAGCATGAAGTGGAAGAAGGAGTACGAGTACGTCACTCCGTCCTTCTCATTGTCCACGGCTCGGCTCAGAGCACCGTCCTCCTCGAAGGCGTCCGTCTGAGGACCGTCCTCAATAAGAGCCGACTCGTCACTCGTCAGGGTCAGCTTGTTTACCTGTGCATTGGACGAGTTACGGATACTGACAGAGAGAGAGAGGTTAGAATCCGACCGGTGGACCTGCCTCATGTTTGCAGAGCGGACAGTCCTCTCACCTGGAGTACAGCACACACATCAGGAACAGGATCAATCCCACAATCCCCTGTGCGTCCCACCACTGGACCACATGGTCCTGACCCGCAGGGCTGGTGCTGTTCAGCCCGATGATCCCCAGGAGGCTGGGGTTACACTTCCTGTCTGTGAGAGAGAGAGAGAGAGAGAGAGAGAGAAAGAGACGTGATGACGCAGCAGGAACATCATCAGTAACTTCCTGATGCTGGGTGTGAGTGTGAGCTCACCTGGCTCGTTGGTCATAGCAGACCAGGTGAGGTACATGGTGTACAGGGTGACCAAGGAGGACTGCAGCAGACCAGAGCGAGGCTGAGACTCCTGCATAAACACACACACAGAGTCTGATCACACATGGCACACTTCTAAATCCTGGCGTACACACTGTGTTTTCAGGACAATTCTGATTTCAGGGTCGGGCTGAACTGAGTCAGTCACCCAGACGAGAACCAATTATGGACGATCAGCTGCTCCCAACTGATGAATTTCTTACATGTTTGATATTTTGGTCCATTCCTCAAATTCACAGCTTTTTATCCAGATTGTGTGCACAAACTGACTGACAATGTCCTAAATCACCACGGCAACAGCAGGCATGCCTTTTTAATCTCGCTCTCTCCCCCCCCCGATCAGCAAAAATATTAATGAGATAAACATTGAAATATCTGCAGACCTCCAGCTGACGAGAGATTTCTGATGTAGCTGCAAGTTGTTGCTTTAGTGTGTGTGTGTGTGTGTGTGTGTGTGTGTACCTGGATCTGAGGCAGGATGGACATGACGGAGGCGGCGATGCAGAGTAGCATGTTGATGCTGATGAAGACTTTGTTCTCGGTGCAGCCCTCAGAGTGTGTGTAGTAAACGTAGAACAGAACCAGAGAGACCAGAGACAGCACGTAGTTCAGAGCTGTGACCGACAGCAGGGCTGAGGACAGGACAGGACAGGACACACACACACACACACACACACACACACACACACACACACACACACACACACACACACACACACACACACACACACACACACACACACACACACACACACACACACACACACACACACACACACACACACACGATAGAAAAAGATTCCATCTCTGTCATTAAGTGAAAGATTCAAAAGGAACTGAAGCTTTATTCAAACTACATCTGTGTCCTCAGGCGGCGAGATGAAGGAATCCATCACAGCTTGTAGAACAAACTTCTGCACACCATGTGAACAGTTCAAAAACACTGGCAACCAAAGACCCTTAAAACCAGAAACATCTGACCCATAAATCACAATGTTGCCGATGGTTTTTGTGAAATTAAACAGTGAACAGGAGTTCTCCTGCAATGTTTTGGATATAACACTAAATGTCCCTACATTGCGTTGTGCTTGGACTTCTGATCTTGTTGTCGTGCTAACGTGTATCGATATTTT